GCACCAAGAGCTTGTAACACTCCAAAGAGAAAGGAAAAATTGAAATCGCATCATATGACCCCTTTAATGGTTTCATTAACGATTCTCTTAGTAGTTCTATAGAGTAAATATTTGAAAGAAAGAAAAAAAAAAAAGAAATGCAATTCCATTACCAAATTATGAGATGATTTCAATAAATAAATGTTAAACAATCTTCCAAAAATTGTTTACACAGATGTTTTTAGATTTTTTAGAACACTTCCTGAACCCAAACTTTTGAACGGTAGTGTATTTTAATAATTTTTTTATAAAGTACTACTGACAAAATACATAATGTGTATCTCTAACTATACACATTGTCATATGAACAACCAGTCAATGACTACAAAAATGCAAATTATTTGGTTTCTATATCTGTTCATTTTCATGATTTAGGTCAAATTGCGTATATATGATTTTCGGATGTACTTGTATTCGCCTTTTCAAGCAGACACCAGGGTTGTGTGCCATGAAGAATTGCATCAGAATGCTTTTTAAATTTCAATTAAATTTGAAAAATTTTAATAAGGTAGCAGAATTTATATAATTAAAATACAATTAAAATCAACTGAAAGAAGACATTTACCCCAATAAATCCAACTGTCAACAAGAAAAAGGAACATTTGAATTGCAATTAGTAAATTCTACTTCCTGTCATTCACATTCATACAATTCAACTTCCTGTCAGGTCGTGGCTGATCAGTTCCAACTTTTGAACCGACAGTGAGGTGATTAAATAATAGTACCCGACCCTGGACAACAAATGGATTCGGGTGCGTGCCAAAAGCTTTAGCGTTGAAAGCGCCCTAAAAGCAAAGCCAAACAAAAGGCATAATTGAAGAAGAGGAGGAAAAATCAACAAAGAAAGAAAGTAGATGCCAGACTGAGAAAGATGCCAAGGCTTATTAAAGGAGGTCAGTGTTAGCATGTTAATCTGGAGGAGCTCAAGAGGATGAAGGCAAATGCCTCTGGGCTGCTGTGTGCGGCTGGGAAACATTTACATTACATTTACATTTAGTCATTTAGCAGACGCTTTTATCCAAAGCGACTTACAATTGGGGGATACATAAAGCGATTCTTCTTAAGAGGCAAACAGACACAGGAAGTTGCACTTAAACGCAGGAAGGGAGCAATTAAATTACACGCGCTCCTTCTTAGCCGAGGGCAATTATTATAATTACCAGAAAGTGCAATCAAAAATACAAACGCAAACAAAAATATAACGTAGAAATAGGCAGAAAACGAAATATTCCTTCCTAGCAGCAAGTAATAATTCCAACAGCAGATCTATAAACAAGTATTATGCAGGACACTCACGTGCAGCCGTCTGTCTCTTCTGTTGACTAATCGACTAAAACAAACAGATTAAAACGTTACTGCCAAGCAAACTCATGCACACGCGCACATTAGCTCATAGATGATGTTATTATTTCCAGAGCGAAGCGCTGTGACGTACATACTCTTGCAAACAGGTTTTTGCTCAGTTCAAGTCAGTTTTTAAACATAATTTCAGGTTTGCAATGGGTTCAGGTTTGTGATGAATAAAAAATACAGTTTTATTATAAATATTGTATGTGCTAACTCTACTTTGAGTTAGAGTCTTTGAAAATTGGGGCATTAGAATTTACACGCTCGTAGATGAAATAAAAATATTTAGATTTCTTTAGATTGTCAAAATGATTGTACCTCTGAGCCATTTCAGAGCAAATACTGTACATAAACATCAATATTATAACTACTGTCAGAAGTCTAAAAGATATTAACATATTTCAGTTCTATTATAAACCATATTCATTAAGGCTGTTCTCATATGGATTACAACATTTCGGTATTTTGAAGCTCTATCCATTGCCAGTCTGTAGCAAAAGCCACATTATCATGTGCTCGTATCGCATAATTTCAATCGACTGAATGATTCAGTGCTCTGACCATATAACCGTGACATTCAACGCAGGCTAATATTATTTGGACATGGATAATTGCAGAAAAAATGGACCATTTTAACATTTTCCAGTCATGAAACTCTTTCTGGCTGTGGAGACATTCTTAAAGCAAATGGTGTCTAATTAAACCCCAGCGTAAGGGAGGGACAGAGATGATAAAGCCTAAACTGCTCTACTGTACTGCAGTAGCGAGACTTTCGCTCTGTCCCAGTTCTGTTCCCTATAGAGATAGATACAAAGATATGTGTTGAAGAATGACAGTACAGTGGCCAACAGCTCGAGGCAGTGTGACTGACTCTCTGTAGAGTGAAGAAAAATCAGTCGATTTATGACCAGTCAAGCCTTTGTTATGGAAGGAGACAGGGCAGGGATCTCGAACTAAAAATAAATAAATGTGTGGGTGGATGGGTAGGCATGTAGCATGTACTGATGTAGTGTGTGTGTGTGTGTGTATATACGAAATTAGAATTTTCATAACTTTTCCAGTTGTGATTACTGGATTTGTAAAACATTTTTAATATAAATTACTCTCACAAAAATGCTAAATGCTAGCCGACTTGAGCATAACTAGATTTTTAAGAGAAAATATAATCAATATAATTTGATTGATTTGTTAGTTTCTTTGGTTCTCAGCTGTAATATGATCACATATGTTTGTTTTTTTTTAAGCAAGGGTTCTCACATCTTTTAATAATGAATTTCCATAACATTTTCAGTTGTGATAGATTTTCTGGATAACTGGATTATACTGTATAAATTGCACTCAAAAAAAAAAGTTTTGAATTGACCCGAGCATAACTAGATTTGGTATATTAAAGTCATTTGATTTATTTATTTTTTGTTTGCTCTCAGCTCTAAAATGATCACAAATTAAGTGCTTTTTTTCCAATTAGAGTCAGACATCTTTTAAAAATGACCTTTTTCAGTTGTGATTTTGGGATTTGTAAAACAACATTTTATCGAAATTGCACTCACAAAAATGCAAAATCTAGCCAACCTGAGCATAATTAGATTTCACTAAAATGTATATATTTAATATGTTAAATATATTTAACAAGAAAATATTATTTGGCCTATTCAAATCATTTGATTTATTTGCAAATATTTATATGCTGTCATATACATTTACGTAAATATACATATACAGTTCAGACTTTGAAGAACATTTTCTTTAGGCTGCAGTCAAGCAGACAAGACAGTTGAGAAAATTGGATCAGAATCAGAGGACATTACAGAGACAGACTGCTGCTGAGGGTCAAGGTTTCACGTGCCGCATTACACAGTGCACTGGTTAGTGAGAGAAGATTAGTGAAGGTGCAGTGATTTGTTCTCAGCTGTATTAAGTGTTTATTTCAACTGGGGTCCCCACAGCTTTTAACAAATAAATTTCCATAACCTTTCCAGTTGTGATTAGTGGATTTTTAAAACAATTCTGCACTCACAAAAAGCAATTTCTAGCTGACTTGAGTATAGACAGATCTCTAAAAAGATTTTAATAGAACAAATTATACTTGTAACTAGAAAATATTATTTGTTCTATTAAAACTGATTGATTTATTTTAAAATACTGTAAAAGTATAGCTGCCGTTTGGCATTGTAGTGGTGTATCTATGAAGCAAATTAGTCATTCTTACTGTATCTGTCTATTAAGAGACACAAGCAGTACCTTAGTACAGTGCAGTTAGTGGTAATATGTTATAACAATATAATAAAGCCTCTATTATGCATTCATCTTAGTAATAAAGCTCAACAGTCATGGCTATTCATACAGATGCTGTATAATGTATAATGTGACCTAATCACTCAATATTGAGAGTACACGGTTGATGTTAGTTCTTTTAATTAAATTCAGAGGGCTGGAATATGATACGTTTTACCTGTTTAGAAGTCTTCCAAGGTGAAAAGTGACCTGCAATGGAGAACAAAACCTTTAGCATGCTGGATCTTTAGTTTTATATTTGAAGTGGGAATTTGAAGCAAATCAAAACAGAAAAAAAGCCAGATGATAACCTTTTATTATTTTGTTTACACAGCAGCCGTTCCCTCTTGAGCTACATTCTCAGCTCTGTAGATGCAGTTTCATTTATTTATTTATTTTTTTAGCTAGTATTTATTCATTTATTTTTTTTGTAAGTGGGGTCCAAAAGCCATTTCTGAGATCACATCTATTTTGTAATTTAATTCTAATTTAATACAAAATGTTAATACAACTTTGTGGAAAATAATTTGAGAACGTTTCAAAAGCAACATGTCTTTCAATGGAAGGAAGGAAGTCTAAACTTTTATACAAAGAAGTTCAAATCGACCTATTTGATTAATGGCCTAGAAATAGTGCAGAATTCATATTTACTATCTAGACACTTTTTTTTATTTCAGACTTGTCTCATTGTATATTGGTTTCAGTAATTCAGTCATTGCATTCATTTCTACCAAATTACTTCATTTGCTGAAATTGTTGTGGTGTTGTGTTAAGCATCAGTGTGGCATTACAAATTGAACAGCATTTAAAATCAAGACCATTTAATCTGTATTACAACCGAAGATACAATTCAAACAGCAGCTATTCAAATATCTATTAAATTCAGTATTTGCTCCTCTCTAAAGCAATTGCATTTTGAGGACAAGTGGTTATTATTTGAATATTTCATGTATCTGTTGAGAAAAATAGAGATTTGAATGTAAAATATACAAGTTTGACCCTAAGGACTGTATCTGTTGATCCTTTTTGATGACAAAAAATAAAAATCTCTTGTTGCAATCAATGAAAGGACGCCCAAATCCAATGACAGAAAGATGCTTAAAATGCACCAAGCGGCATCATCACATCACAGCAAATGCCCATTTTCCCCCTGGAGGAAAAACATTGACTGAGAGGAGGCGAAAGTCCACGAGGCTTCTGAACTCTAATCATAACAAACAGGAAGCAGTGGCAGTGTAGAGCACCTCTTCTGGTATTAAGAGCTAAACAATACTCGCCAACATCAAACGGCAGATTCATGAATATTTTCTCTCTAAACTCTTCCTAAATCGGCCTTGAAATGCACAAAACAAACACACGCATACACAGGCCGTCCAGTGTCTTGCATTCAACTTCTCCCTCTCTGTCTTTCATGTCTTACCACAGATGACCTTCAGGAATGAACAAGGCGATGCAAATGACCTGTTTGGAATTTGGATCGGGGGAGAGAGAAAGAGTGCACAAACATACTAGAGCTGCACAGTTAATCCAATAAGGAATTAAGAATATGACTGCTGTGAAATTTATTCACTTTTTTTTGGTTAAATTTATTGCTAATCTAAAAATATTTTATTTTTATGATTATAAATTATTTTAATAAAAAATGTACATGTGTAATAAATATTTTTTATCGCAGCAATGTTGTGCTTTTTTTATTGTTAAATTAAATCGCCTTTATATTGGTCTCACTGTTCTCAAAGTTATCGACCATTTAAAACCATATTAGTCAATCACTACTACTAACCAATTACAGACATATTTATTGTACACATGAATGCAGTTTCATTTACAATAATCAGAACTCTGCATACGGACAGTCAGTGAGCTTGTGGTGAACCACAAGGCCTGAACAGTCATGTAAAACTGTGTAAACTTCACCGTCAAAGGTTCTTCAATGGTTTAGGAAAGATCCACTTCTTATTAAGAAGCATTTTTCACTGTATAGGGTTCCTGAATTGCTATATGGAGATGAAAATGCTACTGATGTCATTATAAGCTTGTCAGATTTTTAATTTCGTTGACGAATAATTTTCGTCATAATTTTCGTCAACAACATTTTTTCACCGACGAAATTGAGACGATAACGAAATAAAAACACAAAAACTATGACGAAAATCAATTGACATTTTCATCAACGAATAAAAACGAGACGAAAATGTTAGGGAGGGACGATTTGGTAAGAGATCCAGTCAGATCTCCTCATAGGCGCGGGAAGTGGGGGTGCTGAGGGTGCTGCAGCACCCCCTGTTTTTTTCTGTGGGCAACTGTGTAACTGTTGGGAATAAAAAAAAAAATCGGAGTGAATAATTACACTAAGTCCAAATAGCCCGCCTTGTTGGCAGAGGCTATTTACACTAATTCCACCCACCAACGTGTGATTGGGCTAGTCAACATTACAAAAGACGGTCTTCAATCATTAGATTCAGTGGCATAGATGGTAAAGCGTGTCATAGCCTACTCCTTTTGACGCGATCGACCCGGGTTCGAACCTGCCTTTTGGCGAACTTTTTTTCTCCCTTTTCAAATTTCAAATCACATCAGAAAAGCATTTATTTTTAATAAAAATAAAGGAAATAATCAAAAAGTTGAAGATAAAGTATCGGATAGGGTTAGGGTAGGTGTAGGGAGGGCTTTTGTCCCAATAAGGTGGCATCCATTTAACAATTTGAATTATAATTAAAATTTACACTCAAGTTATTATTGCATACTGTTTTATAATGTATTACAATGCTGAGGTGCAGATAATTGCCACTATTTGCAATAAGTAATTAGCAGAATATCCTACTATTTTAACATGTTATAAATATAATTTATAGCTATTTGAACTTAATGTAAACAGCATATCACTAAAAAATACTGCTATTTTCACTAAGTGTAAATAGCCCTTCTTTATGTTATAAAGAATGAATATTATATAACCATTGGTATTTAACTGAAATGAGGTCCATGCTCTTGTTTCTTTATGAGAAGTGGTTTTAATTAATTTTAATATAAAGGTATGTTGTGTCAAAACAGTTAAATCTGTGTCTATATTGCATGATAAAACCTTAATATCAAACCTATATAGGACATTAAAACAATTCAGATGACTAAAATATGACTAAAACTAAATGGCATTTTAGTCAAAAGACTATGACTAAGACTAAATAAAAATTTGCTGTAAAAATTAACACTGGTCAGAACAGTATATTTGCTCTTTAAGGCTCCAGGTTGATTGTGATTAAAATAGCGATTATATTGACTTCTGATGTATAAAACATCAGTAAAATAATTCAGAAATAGTCCTTTGCTCTTTTTGGATGAGTAGCCTACATAAAGAATCTGACATGCTCACTCCTACAAAATAAGTAGTTCAATGTACACAAAATTCTAATTGAATTTAACTGATGTCATGAGTATTCCCATGTATACTAATTCCTAGTATGGGTCACCATACTTGGCCACATGTCACTTCACTTTATAATGTCATGTACAGACACCTACATATAAACAATGAGACGAGGCTGGAAACTCAGGATCCTCTGATTGTAATTATAATGCGTTATAATGTCTTTATAATGTGAAGGTGACCTTTTTGAGTTTCTGATGTATAATACAGAAACAGTCCTCAGCTCTTTTTGGATGTACAGCCTACATAAAGAATCGGACATGCAGCCGCCTCACACAAAATAAGTATTTTAATGCACACTAAATTCTAATCGAAATAAATAATCACACACTGATACTCTTTCTTCATGCTGCATTTACGACACAAGCATAACAGTAACTGGCTTATTAAAAAGCAAAGTGCAGAGTGTTGCCGTCGGCTGGGCATGAGTCATCAAATAAGGAGCAGAGAGTCCAACAGGCCACAACTGGGCTGCTTCAGTGAGCAAGGCTGAGCAAGAAATCAGTGACACTAGCTGAAAGGAAAGGAAAGTGGTTTGATTGTGCTTCATTTGTATGGATAGAGAAATGAATGGAACAGTGCTCTGGAGAGCACATATACAAGTCATATCAAGCCTCATCAATGGGTGAAAATCAAATGGTATTCTGATGCAAAAAAGAAAATATTTGCTGAAAGTAGTGCTTTGCTAAAAAACAGGAGCTGTTGGTGCATGGCGGTCAATGGCTATAAATCACAATAAATGAACACAGAAAACAGAAAAGGTCAGTGAATAACAACGCTCGAATTTCGATTCCTAATGTAGTTCACATCACTTCACAAGTCTTAATCAGCTCACGGATGCGGCTGTTAAATATCTCGCCCAATTTGAACCTGCACTGTATGACACATTCAAATAATCACGTCCTAGATTCTGCAACATCCTTGATGCATATAAAGCAGATTATGCTAATAACACTCACCAAATGCCGTAAATTTGTATGATGCAGGTGAGACTAGGAGAAAACGTAATCCAGACAGGCTTCTATCAGTAAATGTGTCCCACAACATCCTGCCATCTGGCAATTACGGAAAAGTTGCCTACTTGTCCAAATTTGCTATTCACTAATTGGTGATCACATGAGTGGAGGATGACAACAGGGAGAGAAGATCCTACAGTACAGAAAGAGTCTTTTCATGTGCGTTTGGACAACAAACAGAATATAGCGGGGCAAACTGTCACATAGGAAGTTGTTATTTATGATCAAATTTAATATAATTATCATTATTAATTAATTAATTATTTAATTAATTATTATTGTTGTTGTTGCTGCTGCTGTTGTTATATTACAAAAATTACTGTTTTCTTTTTAAATATATTTAAAAATGTAGCCATTATTCCAGCCTTCAGTGTCAGTATATATATGCACCGATACCGATACCCGATACTGGTCTCCTGTACTCGTACTCGTACTCGTTAAAATGCCCCGATACCAAACGCCGATACCACACAGCATGTGATAAGTGCCATATTCAGACAAAGAAACACCGACAACAGAACAACAGACAGCAGAAAGGAGTTAAGGATGTCTACTACGAAGTATATGTATGCAATGAATATAATGTTAAACATTCAGTATTAACGCCTGGATAACTGATGTACGCGAGCTGATAAACAAAGCACGCTGAGTGGATTGAGCGCGCGGTGGCGCAGATGCGCGTGTGCGAGCTTGTGAATATACCTTTCCCCTTCGGGAACTCGAGCTGCGTCGGAAAACGCTAGGGGAACGCCTTCAGCGATACCAAG